TGTATATATATGTGTGTTTGATGTGTTTGTGTGTGTTTATGTATGTGTATGTGTGTGTAAGTGAATGTGTATATATATGTGTGAATGTGTATGTGTGTGTTTATATATGTGTGTAAGTGAATGTGTATGTATGTGTGAATGTGTATGTGTGTGTATTTATGTATGTGTATGTGTATATATATGTGAATGTGAATATGTATATGTATGTATATGTGATTGTATGTGTATATGAATATGTGTATATGTGTGTGTTTATATGTATGTGTATGTGTTTGTGAAATGTATATGTGTATATATATATGTATGTATGTGTATGTATATTTATATGTGTGTAATGTATGTGTATGTGAAAATATATATATATATGTATGTGTATATATAGTATATAATTTTTTTATATATTTTTTTAAAATTTTTTAAAACATTTGCGACGGAATGCGACAGGAAAAAATTCTGTCGCAAATTGCGACGGAATTATCAGTCACTTTCCGTCGCAAAACGCAGATTTTTTCCGTCGCACAATTGCGACGGATTAACGACCGTTATACGTTTGTGACAGCGTTATACCGACGGAAATAAGTCCGTCACATTCCGTCGCAAATTCTTAATTGCGACCTTTATATTTGCGACAGATTTTTCCGTCGCTATATAGCTGTTTTTTTGTAGTGGTTGTACCTCAAACCGATGTCGGTTCTGATACCATCTTATAGAAACTAAAATATTTATTTAATTAATTTTCTAATATTGTATTTCTTCTAAAAAATAGTGACATAGTGCATATATATATATAAGTGTGTGTATATATAATGAATAAGATAATTATCAATACAGAAAATAAATGTAGAAAACGTAGAAGAAGAAATGAGAATATTTTTGTTTTATTTTTTTTCTTGGTTTGTGATGCTTAAAACCCTTACATGCATGCCTATTTATACATAAAACAAATGCACACATACCACACATTATTACTAATTTTTCTTTTAACACAAACCACACACACAAAGCACACAAAATAAACCACATAAAATGCACTCAACTAACCCATTAATATTTCAATTAATGGATCAATCTTATCACATCTAAAGATCAAGTATATATCCATTGAATTTTAATGTGATTATATTGAGAGAGAAAAAATGAAGTTGCATTCACAATTTTTTTATAGCATAACTTTTCCTTCAATATTTTGTGCGAGGATATAGTTATCCCGGTCAAGAAGCAACTTATTCTTTGTTACCAAACATGACTTTATATATAGACTACGCGTCGTTTCTAGATGAACAAAACGACGTGTGCTTCATGTTTCCCGCCGAAAACAAAAAGCCTCGAATGAAATGACCTATCTGAGTCGGTCGCTCGGGTAGCTTCTCTACTGCTGCCGGCGATGGCGGCCAAGCGGCGGAAAAAGAAGCGCCAGACCTCAAAAGTCTCTAATCGAGGCGATGAGACTCCGAGTTTATTCCGATCCCTTGCTTTGGCAATTGCGTCTTCCCAGGTACTACGTTATGCAATGCGCCGAACAATCAAGCAAAAAGTACTACTCTCATTTTGTTGTTCCGATTTTGATTGATACTTTGGAGATTGAACCTGTTAATGGCATAAACCATGCTAGGGTTCTTACATTTGCTTTTAGACGCTTACTGGGTACTGCTTTGGTTATGCAGAATTTCCTGAAATTGGGGTATTTTTTGAATCGTCTCTTATGTTGAATCCTCTTCTCAAATTCCAGGTTTCTCAGAAGCTCGTCTTGAAAAGTTTGCAGTACCTTCTGGTTCATTTATCATTGAATCAGCCGACATGTTGGGATCAGTGTGATGCAATCTCACATTCTTTGTCCAATGGAGAGGAAGTCAAATTGAAGTTCGAGGATGTTCATTTCCTCTCTGATGTTCTGTTTACAGAACTCAACAAGAGGTACGAACAACCTTTCTCAACTTTGTGCAAAAACAATGAAGAACCATCTGTCACACATATGAATCCACAAGAAAGCATTGAAGAAGCCACCTTGTTGCTAAGATGCTGTATGAACACAATGAGACTACTTATATCCAACCAGGAGGTGGCATTGGAGAAAGCCAAAGCTCTTCTGGCAATCCTTAGGAGATTGATTTCTGCAGAACCGCGAGCGTGGAATGGGGATAAGTCCTTTGTATTCACACGTTCTGTCTCATGTGGGTACACCAAAAACGATGATGGTCCTGGCACTTCCATCGCTGGAGATTTTGTTTCTTCCATGTATTTCTCAGGACCTTCAGATCCTTGCCATTCATTTCTCTGTACAGGGCTTGAGGTAATTCTTGAGTCTTGAGATTTTTTGTATGTCACTCTTGGTTGGTGGTTAAAATCTCTTTTCCTTGATGAATTGAAATGTTCTTGAAGCTGTAACTGGAACATATAAGTACATTTAAGTAGAAGATAATCACTTTAGCGCTACATTGAAGTAAGAGTTGGACATGTGCATGCTAAGATAGGTGTTTTAGTTCATAGAGTGGTTTGTAATTTATTTCCTCCATTATAAATAGAATACTGGTGTAAAGGGAATACCCTTCGGTATGACGTTTGTTATTTTTGTTTGTCAATGCTTAGCAGTAATTCCAACTGGCGTGAGCCCTTTAATTTCATTGTGTAGCCATGATCTCACAATTTTCTGTGCAATGTTTTCAGTAGTTGTTATTGCAGTTCAGATGAAACTGGTATATTTAGTGATTTCCCCCCTTTGTTTTGATTGAAACTGTGGCTCTGTGTGGTATATTCCTTTATTTTACCATGTATCTGCATTGGTATTAGAGAAAAGTAAAGTTTATTTCTGAAAATTCTATCTTATGTTCCATTGCCCTTTCTATTATGTCCCTAATTTTATTTTTGGTGTGTATTCCAGGTTTTCGCGGATGAGATTTTGGTGAATAAGACGATAAGGGATCTACTTTTGCTAGTAGATTCTGCATTTTCCTCAAATAGACTTTTCAGTACACATTCTTTTGGATGGTTTGGTTTGGCAAGCGTGCTGGAAGTGATTTCCTCTCATTTTGTTCTTTCATTTTCTGATGAGAAAATGACTAAAGTGTTCATCGATAGATTATATTTGAAGCATCTAAATGAATTTAGAACTTCTCAGATAAGCTTGAGTGCAGCTATATCCTTGCTGCGAAACCCTGTGATGCTATCTGCACCAAGAATCTTTCATGCATATGTGGTGCTATTGGTTAAGGATGCCATCGGTATTAATGTATCTTCTTGTGTTAAGGGATTAGACCTTCAGCTTATTGGATGGTATCTTCATGCTTTTGAGAGCTCTGTTGTTTTATACACAAGGCACATGTGTAATTTTGACAAGGGTGGCAATGGTATAGGTGGGAGTGCCTCATCTGGGAAACCTCGTGTTTCAGAGAGTAATACTCAGGTGGCTTTTGAATATCTTCTTCTGCCATCAACGCTGGAGAAGGTTAATTATGTTATGATGAAGCTTAATGATTCATGGGATTCATACCTGAGTAACATCTTCAACAGAAAAAAAACCGAGTTGGTTGCTTCTTCTTTTGCATATGCTAAGGAAAGCGTATACGTATTTGGTGACTCCTGCTCAGAAGTGATGTTGTCTCAGATCTTGTCCATTCTTGGTTGTTTGATACTTAGAGCTTGTTCTGATGATGTCATGGATTTTGTGTTGCAAAAAGGCTATGAAACAAGTACTCAAGATCTATATCTTCTTGGATCTTCGCTGAAATTGATGAGTTGTTCAATGCTGCAAGCAATCTTGTGTCTCAAGGATGGTAGAAATCGGCTTTCATCTAAAGCCACAGAAGGTTTTCAAGCTGAAAAGGAATACAAAGCCATGATGGACATCGTTCAACGTTTTGAACAGTTTAGTGTTTCGTTACCCAGTCAAAGGTTCCTGCATGATACAATGGAACGGGATGTGCTAAGACATGTGAAGTCCAAATGGATGCTTATACATTTTTCAGGTTTACTTTCTATGAGCTATGCTCATAAGCTTGATTTCTTGATGAAAGACTCAATCTTTGCTATGGTGGTATCTCTGTATTTGTTTATCCTGGAAGAGGGTGACTTACATGCACTAAGGGGTTCCATTGGTGGGTCAGAATCGTCTCCATCAGTATCACCTGGTGGTTTCTCCAACTTGGTTGCCTTTGATAAAACAATAGAGGTAAAACTCTGCTCATTGCGAGCTTTTTAACCTTTTTCTTCTTTCACTCTTTTATAAATATGTCTTTGTGTCAAGGTTGCTGCAGACAGAAAAGCGATCCAGGCAATTGCATCGAAATTCCAGAAAATTCGAACTTTGTATATGGGGTAAGCAATGAATTTCTGGGATTGGATACGAAAGCCTTATAGACCCTCAAAACCTTGTACAGATTCTTTTTCAGCACCATATTTTCCTGTTTCATCTGTCTTTGAGATCTCTTACAATCTCCAACTGGGTTTGCATTTCATCTCTTTGGCTGCACAGAAAGATCGCTCGGACAGAATCTGGAAACACTGATGAGCCAAAAGATGCAGAGAATGATGAACAAGAAATGGGCTCTGCGGTTGGGGTGGAGGAGGAAAGCTGCAATGGGGAGAGATATCTTAGGTGTGTAGTAGAAAGAGGCGGAGTGAGATCATCTGACATCCAAGACTTATCAGACTTCATCGTGTGCGAGCCCGGGAAAGATTATTCCGATTGGCTAAAAGGTCGAGAAAGATTTCGTCAGAGATGGAAATCGGAGAAGATGGCTACTTATAGGTGGAAGAAGAAGAAGGAAACTTGGAGAGGGAACAAGCGGAAGATAACTTAGACTGTCATCCTTGTTCATGTAAGCCTGCATTGTCACTCAAGAAGCGGAAAGAGTCATTGTAAAGAAAGGTCGCTTCTGTTATAATTGAAAGTAGAGGGCTTTTTACAAATAAACGGGGAATACAGGGGCCAATTTTCGAAGGCCTCTTTGCAATGACAATTATATAAAACCTGCAGAACATGGAATACACATTGTAATGGCCATTTCAGAAAGAATGATATAAAACATAAACTGTCCAAAAATATGTGGCTTTAGCCAGAAATTGAGAGTAAAAACTGTTAACAATTTGAAAAAGCTTTGAATAATTTCATAAATTTTGAGGATTTCCCATTTTACAGAATGAATAAGCAAATTGGGAAAATGGAACAACACTTGCCGACAGACAGCAGCCGCTGACTTTTGTCACTTGCAAGAAATTGAGGGGTCATTTTGAGAACAAGTAAAACTATTGTCCCCTCGAGTAATTTTTTATGTAAAATTAATTATGGAAATTGAGAAGAAAAAAACAAAAGGAATCGTATTCCGATGGCGAGGCTGCGCTCAAGGAAAGATAGGTGCTTTCCGCTGAAGCGCTCTCTCTCTCTCTCTCTCTCTCTCTCCTCTCTCTACTTCACTTATTCTCGCACTAGAAATCAATGGCGGTGGCGGCGGCGGCGGCGATGAACGGATTTCCTCAGGCGTATCTGGCCGGGAAGGAGGTGAAGGAGACGCGGTCGCTGCTATCGGAGCTTTGCCGCCATTTCTACGGCCTCGGTTGGGTTTCAGGGACTGGTGGAAGCATCACGATCAAGGTCCACGATGACTCCATTCCTAAATCTCAGCAGATCATCGTCATGTCTCCTTCAGGTTTGATCATGAATCTGTGATTTAACTTGGTATTTTGTTTTTTTGGCTTATGAGCGTGTGCCGATTTGTAATTTTTGGATCCTGCTATAATCGTGAGTTATCAATCTTCAGTTTGCTATCGAACTTCTTTTTTGAAGGTTGATCATAAATTGATGTAGGAGTTCATCGCTATGTGTTCATTCTGTCAAAGTTTCTGTTTCTAGTGTACGTTTCGATAATGTCTGAATCTTCGAATCAATCTTTTTTTTTTTGGTTTCAACTTCGAATCAATCTTAGTGGCATACACGATCTTCTTCCACAGCTGGTTTTTTGCTTTAAGGCTCTCAATTTCTTGCTGGATTCGTAGGTGTTCAAAAGGAGAGGATGCAGCCAGAAGATATGTACATCTTGTCTGCGAATGGGTCGATCATATCTTCACCATCTCCCAAGCCATACCCAAATAAGCCTCCCAAGTGCACTGATTGTGCTTCTCTCTTCATGAAGGTACGGTTTTTACTCTATAGGAAGTCTAAAATGTTTGCTCTTATGAAGCTTTCTTGGCATTAAAATCTGTTAAACTCTGCCCTACTGCGGTATCGGTGATGGATTATACTACCTTTTCTTCTCTTCTATTATTTGCTGATGTGAGCTCTTGATTTTTGCTTTTAGAGTTATGCTTGATGATGGCAGAATGTTAGGGTTTTGCTTGAAATATTGTGCAACAGTTACAGTTCTGGAGTTGAACTTTTGTGATGATCGTGTCGTGAATATTATCTTTTGTCGTCTCCATTCTGTTTTTCTCATGAAAGCTAAAGAATACGGAATAAGAAAACATGTGGTTAGAGTTCATGATCATGAGAGAGTCAGTTGAGGAGATTGCTGCTTCTCTTCTGGTAGTATTTTACCTTTCCACCCATTTATCACGTTATAATAATAACCTGTGATTGGAAAGAAGTATTTTGATTGCTATTGACTGTTGGATTGCAATCAGAAAAAAGCGCAGAACAGACGGCTTTCTTTGGGGAAAAGGTCGCAAAAACTTGGTTACAAGGTAAAACTTGTCCAATTTGAGTACTACCCCACTTTGGATGTCTTGGTGGGTTTTCTTGGACCCATATGACATCCAGTTCATTGCAGTGGTAGCCTGGAATTTAGTCAGGTTTCGGTAATCAGGGAACACAATGGAGTTGGGATTTCCATTGATTTGTTGGAGTCTATTTGGTAATGTACATGAGGAAAGAGAGCTTGGTTGTAGTTTCTTTCTATTAGCGAAAGAATTCCCTTGGAATTCAACTATCTTGGTTTCATGTGACTTTTGTGATTGTCTTTTCCTCAAGGAAAAAGTAATATAATGAGATCGAGAGATAATTTTTAGAAACTTTCAGATGAATGTGTGATTTGTTGTATTTGTTTGGTTGACTTCTATTTGTTAAGATATTATTTCTTCATAGTTGTGTTTCAACGAGTTTTATCTTTGTGACCTTCATTGCAATGCTTGTATTATTTAATATTTTCATTTCTGCCTCATCAATTGTTTGCTTCTTTCGGCCTGTATGGTTGTCCATTTTATTTAACGTACTCCTCATTTTGGGATTAGAAAGCAGCATTGAAACAGTTGACATTGCTAAATTTACTCTACGATCGAATGGTTACTGTTTCCCTCTTTTATGAAGTCATGTCTGATGTGGTGGTGCAGGCATATGAGATGCGAAATGCTGGAGCTGTTATCCACAGTCATGGCATGGAATCTTGTCTTGTGACAATGCTTAATCCACAAGCCAAAGAATTCCGTGTAAGCTAAGCTGCCTTTTCTAATGCTTAGCTTTTGAGATAAATTTTAACGATGTTCTCGGATCCCAAAATGAGCATATTTCCATTAATATCTAGGATCTCGTTTCCTTCCTGTATCGCAGAAATTAACATTTCTGTTGCAAAATAGATGTTGCTATATCCGAAATCATGTATGCAGAGTTGGACATTAATTTTGTCTAAACGTTTGTTCAAAGCCATCGGATCGTGGGTTTTATGTTTTTCTTTTGGTATCCAGAAAGTTCTCTTTCATACTTTAGAGTTGCAATATGAATTGCTACTTTCACCAGCTATTTTGGTACCTTATTTGGTTTCTTAAATTTCATCTTATTTGTTTTTTTTTTTTGTTTGACATGTTGCAGATAACGCACATGGAGATGATAAAAGGGATACAAGGTCATGGATATTATGATGAACTTGTTGTCCCAATAATAGAGAACACGGCTTATGAGAATGAACTTACAGATTCACTTGCTAAAGCGGTATGTTTTTCTACTCTCACTTATTAAAAGTTAAAAAACCTGCTTGTTTGTTTGCATTGTTCATGAAATTTCCCGACCTCTCTGACTTATTTTGCGTTGTTTATACGCAATAAAAGAAATTTATTTAAATAGTTTGGAGTTTTTCGTTCCAACTTCAGATAGAAGCCTATCCGAAAGCAACAGCTGTACTGGTGCGCAATCACGGAATTTACATCTGGGGTGATTCTTGGATCAGCGCTAAGACACAGGTTTGTTAAAGTTTCTTATATTTTATCGTGTTTAAGAAACCAACCATAGAAGAGAAATTACGTGAGGGACGTTTAAGGTGGTTTGGACACGTAAAACGTAGACCGCTAGATGCTCTGGTTAGAAAATTAGAGAGTATAAGGATGGAAGTGAAGAAACGAGGAAGGGGTATACCTAGACTTACTTGGGAACCAGTCATTAGAAATGACTTGGATATGTTGCAAATATCGGAGAATATGACGCAAAACCGAAATGAATGGAAAAGAAGAATTCATGCGGTCGACTCCAAATAAACTTGGGATTAAGGCGATGTTGTTGTTGTTGTAAGAAACCAACAATATGTCAAGTATCGTTCTATATGCTCATACATTTTTTGGAGGACCATTTGCTTTTACTTCCTTTCTAAAATTTAGACGCTCTCCATTTCAGGCTGAATGTTATCATTATCTTTTCGATGCTGCCATCAAGCTTCATCAACTAGGTCTGGATTATTCTACGCCTGATCATGGACCGATCAAGAAAGCCAAAGTTTCACAAAATCCAAGCTACACAAACTTGTCTGTGAAAGCCGGAACTAAAGATTCACAAAATCAAACTGAACCACCACCGGTAAAATTTGATGACGTCTCGTATTATATTAGCTGGAACCTTTTGTTTTCGGATTTCCACCTTACGATTTGGGCCCTTTGGAGTTTTGTCTCTGCTTTCGGGAAATAGAATACATATAATTCTAGAATCCATTTGGTTGCAGCGATGCATTGTCCTTGACATAGGGGGGACGACAACTCCCATAACTTTTGTCACGGATGTGCTCGTTCCCTATGCCCGTGATAATGTCGGGAAGCATTTATATGCAACATACGATACTGCTGAAACTCAGGAGGATATTAGGTTATTGCGCTTTCAAGTAAGATTTTTTTTCCGACTGACTTTTTAAATCTCTCTAGTTCCTAATCTTGAGTGTTTTGATATTGTTTTGCATTATGAAATATCATATAGGTTACTTATATCCTTAATCCTAATATTCATTCGGATTTTATTTGATCGTGTAATCAATTTACCAAGGCTTCTGTGAGGTAACTATCAAAAAATATATAATGCAGGTTGAAGAAGATCTCCGACAGGGTGTTAGTGGCGCTGTTCCAATCCCTCCTGCTGATTCAGGAAAAGAAGAGGTCATTTCCGCCGTTGTCTCTAATGTGGAGGCAATGATACGAGCTGACAGAAAGATCACCGCTTTAAAGGAATTGCAAGTGAGGAAAAACGGGATTCCTCCCCGGGGGAAATTATCCTCAAAAAAAATCTTTTTCCCCGAGTTAGCATTGCATAACATGGCTTCGTTTCATGTGCAGGGTCACATATGGCGAACAGGGTTCGAGGTTAATGAACTGAAGTCAGCTGTTTTTGAGGATGTACCTGAAGCTCTGGAGAAGTGGCATTCTTCGGGAATTAAGGTACATTCTCCAGTCCCTGACATCATAAAATGTTCTGAAATGTTACAATGATTTCATAACGACAACCGCCTCTGCTAATCCATTAGTAAAGAAAAAACATTACACTATTTATATGCATCGAGAGTTGGAAACATCGAGATATCTTACTGATCTCTTCTCGATATCGATGATGCATTAATCTTTCCCGTGCAATCAGGTTTACATTTATTCCAGCGGCAGCAGATTAGCGCAAAGACTTCTCTTCGGGAACACAAACTACGGAGACCTAAGGAAGTATCTATCCGGGTTTTTCGACACTACAATCGGGTAAATATCCATTACCGAAAATTACATCATTTTACGTCAACACTCATCATGTCCAAACTTAAACTCATCCTACCCTTTTTTTACTCGCAGAAACAAAAAAGAAACTCGGAGTTACAAAGAAATCACAGAATCGCTCGGAGTCGATAAGCCCTCGGAGATATTATTTGTCACCGATGTCTACCAAGAAGCGACTGCTGCCAAAGCTGCTGGTAACGACAAACACACTTCTTTCCATATCTCTTCTCTTTGCTTCAAAACCGATGAAATTTCGCCAACTGACATCACGATATTATGAAATCTTTTTACGAAGGGCTCGAGGCGATAATATCTGTTCGCCCCGGAAATGCTCCCCTCCCCGAGAATCACGGGTTCGAAACAGTCACTTCCTTCTCGCAGATCTAAAAGGTTTTTATTCTGTATTCACCTTTGTACTCTTCTTTCACCACTCCTTACTTCTGTAATGTTTGAGCACAGTAACCGACCAGCTTCTTCATGAATAAACTAGGAAAGCTTCAAACTTTATATACCCTTTTAGCTAAAACATGAGCTTTGCTTCACCAAAAGCATTATGCTTTTGATTGAGAGTTATATAATGTTTCAAATCTCTTTGGAGTTTGATGTTAGATTAGTTATTTTCCTTCAGTCATATTTTATCTTCAAGTAAAAAAAAAAAGAGAAACAGAGAGATGAAAGCAACAAAGAATTTTTTTAAAAAAAAAGGAAAAGGAAAAATGGAGGACAAAATGAAAAGAAAGCGAGAGAGTGACCGACAACGTGCTTGCATGGTTGAGATTGACCTCAGAAATTCAAAGTCTTCCGACAATATATTGAAACATGATTGAATCGGTCCGATATCATTTGGGGTTGTCGGATGACCAAAATCTAGTTACAGGCTACGGAAGAGTCGTCGTACAATTCTTCAAGCTTTTGGATTATAAATTAATTACTACGGGCCCTCCTTTTTTTCTCTATACACTGGCATGATTATGTTTGTAAGCATCGTCTAAAATCCATAGGACAATCAAAGACACATCTATTGTGCCATATTGCCATATATTATACATCTTTTTTTAATGCATATATTATACATTTAACCAAATCAGAGATCATATAATATATTGATTGGTCACTAGGGTTTATTATATGGATCAGAAGACAGTTTAGGCGAAGTCACCGGGAAAAGAGACAGAAGCTGAGGCTCAGAATGTCGTGGAGTTGAAACGGGAGATGGGTGAAGGTAAAACCCTTTTTCAGCAATGGCTTTTTCTTCCTCAGACGAGCACGACGAAAGGGGAGATGCCTTGTCGAAGGGGTCACCGTTTCTCAGAGGCGTAACTGGACTGTTAAGCCCTAGCTTCGGAAAGTCAAGCGTACTTGGAGACAGAAGAATCTCCGGGTTCCTCGGAGAGAATCTCGGGCTGTGACTATGGATCCTCAACGTGTTGATCATGAACATGCTGTTCTTGTTGTTTGTGTTCTGTCTTCTCTCGTAAAGCTTGAAGCTTTTGGTGTTCTTGATCGGAGGGATCGAGAACGGCGGCGGTTCTTGATTCTTTGCGGTGGTTCCCGACGAGCCTGTGAGAATCTGGACAACCTGTTTGAAAGTGGAAGTATCTGCTTGAACAAACGTTGTCGGGTAAGGATTTGAGAGATGATCAGATCTTGTCTGAGTCAAGATCTGTGGCCTTTGACTCTCCTCTTCTCTCGAGGGCGTGGTTATGGAAGATGGGTTATGAATATCTTCTGGTTTTGCGGCCACGGATGTTGCAGAAACCTCCATGGGTATATGTCATGGGAGAGACAATGATTGATGAAGGAGAAGAATAGTGGAAGCTGCTTATGCGAACATATGGATTTATGATGTTTTATTATGACATTAAAAGGGCCTAATGAGGTGTCAAAATGGACCCATTTCGTTTTTGTTTTTTATAATTAAAATCCATTGAGATTCTTGTTCTGAAAACTATGTACCGTCCATCATTTCTTTAATCCGAATCATTCTTATGGCCATGGTGTATAAAAAAATACTGTTCGAGATTTTTGTAAGCGAATTTCAACTTCATAATTCTGAAATTCCAATTCTGTGCTGCTTTTTAGCATTTGGCGATGGAATATTTTGGTACCGGACCCGAAATATTGAGATTTTCTTTATTTATGATAATATGGATTTTGGTTAGTTTATGATTTGTTTTGGTTTTATTAACAAAAATATATTTTTTTCAATCAATTTTTAATTTGTTTACAATTAATTTTGTAATTAATTCAGATCTCTTTAATTTTATTTAAATCAGATTCTATTCCCTTGGGTTTTATATATGGATGTAAAATGAGCTCCGGTTCGCAGGTTGGCTCACGAGCCAGCCCATATTTTTGCGAGCCCATAAAAAAACGAGCCTAACGGGCCAGCGCGTCGCGAGCCTGGCTCGTGGCAGCTCGTCATGGGCCGGGCTGGCTCGCGGGCCAGAAAAAATAATTATTTTTTAAATTTTAATATTTTTATATATACAAATTATTTTTTTATTATATATTTAGTTTATTTTATTTAAAATTTAATTTTTTATTCTATTTTAAAATATTAAAATTATTTTAAATATATTTTAGTATTAAAATTGTATTTTAAAAAATTATATATTTAGCTCGCGACCCGGCTCGTTTGGTTCACGAGCTCGGACGATTTGAGTTGGACTGACCTATTTTTGGCTCGCTAAAAAATAGACTGGGTTGGTAAGCTGAAAATTTTCTAGATCAGGACGATCCGGGCAGGGTTGGACCGGGCCAACCCATTTTACACCCCTAGTTTTATATACCCATATCGAAATATTAAATCTTAATACTATATTTTTACTATATTTTCTTTAAAAAAAAGTACTAGTTTCTTTTTTTTAATAGAAATGGGATCGATCAAATAAATAAATATTCTTTAGCAAGCGCCTCACCGATCAAATAAATAAATATTCTATATTTTTACTATTTTTTTTAGCAATTGTGATTTTCGGTAAGTAAAAGTGGATAGAGACTAGAGTATCCAATTCTTATTTCTTTTTAAAGAAAATTTTCTATAAACCAAACAAAAGTTAATAATAATAATAATACAATCTATTGTGGGAACTCCAATTCCAATTGCAAAAATCTCCTCCAAGGATCAAATTCTTTCAAACTCCAATAACGTTGATGTTTTCTAGAATGCTTTGTGATATATATTATTTGAACCGAAATTTTTATAATATATTATTCGAATTTGAACTCGATTTGTTTAGGTATCCGAAAATCGAATATCCGAAATAATTTTCGGATACCCAAATCCAAAATTTTAAAACAAATTTTAACAAATATATAGTAAGATATAAATAAATATAAAAATTTAAAATATAATAGATAAAAACAAATAAAAAGATATTAAAAAAAGTAATATGTAGAAAGTTATAATAAATTTAGTTTTAGATCTTTTATATAATATAATTAAAATATAGTGATAAAATTATAAATTTATAACTTTTCGGGTAACCCAAATAATTACCCGTATATCTAAATCCGAATTCGAATTTCGGATTTTTCTAAAACATTATATCTGATCTTATATATATATATATATATATGTGTGTGACCAATATTTTAGTCCTCGTAAACATAATATATTATATTATATATAATTAATTTATATGAATGCCGGTGATAAAATGCTAAATATATTTTCAATAAAATTTGAGATAAACAGATCGAATATTTTAGAATAAGTGTAGAGGTGAAGTATACCGCTCATCATCATTCTTTTTTAAGCTTGAATTTTTATTTTACCGATTTGATAAAAACCGAAGGAATGAAAGAAAACCTATTTAACAAAGAACCCTCGAGCAATTTTGTGATAACTAATTATATAGAAAATGATCATTTCGTATATCCAATAATTATTAAACGTAAACCGCAGTGTCTGCAACACATCAATTAAGACCCGTAAAATTGAAAAAGAAAATAAAACATCTTGTGGTGATTTCAATAGTAAAATCTATCGAATTATTACAAAACAGAATAAGAAAAAAACAAAAGAAGGGTCTCAATTGTTCATGCCCGTAGCATTCTTAACAGCATCGACCGCACCTTGTGCCTTTGCTTTCATCTGTTGCCCCGTCTATATACACACCGATCATATACAAAGGAAAACAAAACATCAAGAACATATATATACATATAAATCACCTTAACAAAAAAAAACATATATACATATATATATATATATATATATATATATATATATATATATATATATATATATATATATC